TAGTGTGGTTCATCCTGAGAAATAAATAAAGCACTGGTGAACTTATCAAWGCAAAAAGACCTGGACATCCACAAAAGACAGCAGTGATGGATGATCACAGAATAATGGTGAAGAGAAAGTCTGTCTCAACAGCCAACCAAGAGAACAACACTCTCCAGGAGGTAGATATATCAATATCCAAATCTAGCATAAAGAGAAGACTGCATGAAAGTAAATAGAGAGGGTTCACTGCATGCTGCAAGACACTCATGAGCCTCAAGAACAAAAAGGCTAGACTGGAGTTTGCTTAAAAAAACATAAAAAAAGCCAGCACAGTTCTGGTAGAACATTCTTTGGACAGATGAATCCAAGATCAATGTCTACCAGAATGACGGAAAGAAAAAAATATGGTGAAGGTGTGGTTGAGCTCATGATCCAAACCATATCATCTGTAAGACACAGCAGAGGCAGTGTGATGGTTTGGGCATTTATTTTTGCCTGTAGTACTGGGTCACTAGTGTTTACTGATGATGTGACACAGGACAGATAAACTCTGAGATATTCAGAGACAAACTGCTCAAACGCAGCCAAACTGATTGGTCGGTGTTTCATAAAACAGATGGACAAYGACCCAAATCATACAGCCAAAGCAACTCAGGAGTTTATTAAAGCAAAGAAGTAGAATATTATTGATTCCCAAGCCAACAATAACAACTAAAAACTGCTGCAGTAAAGGCCTTAACAGAGCATTAAAAAGGAGGAAACACAGCCTCTGGTGATGTCATTCAAAAAGTCAGGCGGTCRTTGTCAWCAAAGAGTTTTCAACCAAGTATTAGAAATRAACATTTTATTTACAATTATTTACATAGTGTTTTAAAAAAATGCTTTAGTAGCTCTCATTTTTATCCAGTCATTTTGTTCAACCCACTGAATTAAAGCTAAGAGTCTGAGCTTCAGCTGTGGTAATGTACAGAATGAAATTTAGGAAAATGTTGTCTCTGTCCAAATAGATATGGACCTGACTGTAAACAGCCTTGCTATAGTAGTGTAAACAAATGCTGACTCAGCAGTCACACATGGCAGATTTGGTCCTAGAGGAYGGCTGATCATCAGCTCCATACATCATTCATTCAACTCAGATAGATATGTGATTGTGGAAATACATTTCTGTTAGTCTGATGCATCCAGCTGAACTTTTAAGCATCATCCATCATCTTTACAAGGGACGTCCCGATACCGTTTTTTCTCAAACAGAGGGGTACAGTTTGGATACTCACAGACGCAGAGTACTTACTGAATTAGAATTTAAAAATTCCACAATGACTTTTAAAAACACTATTTTTATTTACAAAAAGCGGCTCTCCTCCCTGATACAGTAGGCCTCCAGTCTTAATTCAAGAAGTCTTACCAGGTGTATTGTCTTTTTGTACTGGCAGAGTATTTATTTTTACTTTATTTGAGTGAATCTTCTGAAAATAAGTAAAATAATCTGCCAGTCMCAGTAAAACAATTCAGTGTACCCCTGAGAAAAGATTTTTCACAACATTTATATCTACGTTCACATGTTCGGTATTTATATAGTAGTTGATATTCTTAATGTAGTTCATAAAAAGTAAAGTTCATATAATCAAAACTCTTAGAGAAGTTAACTATTTCATCCAGGAAGAACTCATGATTCGTTACCCCCCATTTAAACCCTGTAAACTTTTTTGACCCTGCCTCTAAGGTCGTATTCACACCTGATAGTCCAGTAGACTCGGTTCGATTGGGGACCAAAACTGCAAGCTTTGTTTACATTTCCTGTTGGTGCAGTTTGAATTCACACTGCACTTTCTCAACCGAACTAAACCCTGTAAACAACCTGTTCCCGCCCTCACCTGTGGGGGCGCTGCACAAAGAACCACTAAAGTCATCAACATGAAAACCTCAGAAGAAAACATGGAGCAACTTCCTTCTTCCAAAATGTAAACAAACAATAGCAACGTTACATTTTAGTGGTTATAGGGTTTATTTTTTGTTTTTGGCAAATGTGCAAAACAAATAGTCTTCAACAATGAGCTCAGCATGAGAGGAAGATGAGGCGGAACCACGGAGAATGTTGTTTTGCACACAAGGCGGCTGAGGAAGCTCCATATTAATCCAGTAGGAGCTTGTCCAGCTCCACAGTCATGATGTCCACCTTATACAGTCGTCCAGCGAGGTATTTACACCATATAAGTAGATTTATTACTGTTATTACTCAGAATGTCACGCGGTATAGTCCGCTTCCTGCTTTTGGAGCGGTCTCTGGTCCGCTTAGCGTTCACACATGCAATCAAACCGCACCAGAGTTTGTTTCAATCGAACCAAGACCTACTGGGTAGGTTTTCAGGTGGACCAGAGTTTGATTTTTTTGATCCGAATCAGAGTTTGATTACGTGTTCATACCTCCGCAAACGAACCGGACTTTCCAGGCAAACAAACTAGAGTTTGGTTAAATCGGACTAAACAATGCAGGTGTGAATACGACCTAAAAAAGAATCCAAATTCTTCCAATTCAACCTGTGCCAAACCCTACTCAACAGTCCAACCAAACCATTTCCCTGTAAACATACACCAACAAGAAAACAATAACTATAAACAGAACATGTGGGCCAAATAACATTTTTGAACAGATTTAATTCTGTTGGTGCCAATTTGCCAATTTAAGCAAACAGCATGATTTATCTGAGCAAAATAAATCTGATGTGTCTGCCAATACCATGTGAGCAACCGATCTGAAAAGCATGACTGACCATACTGGATCACACAGACTGTTTATGCCAGACAGTCTGAAAGCATCAGGTAGCCTTGAGTTTTTGCCTGCAGCGTGCAGCTATTACTTGTAAACATCCTGTTCACAGTACGCTTTGAATTCCTTGTCAGAACAACTAAAAATAAAAATAGTGAGGGGAAACACACTGCACCCTAAACCACTGCGTCATGAACAAACTGAATCACCCAGACTGARAAGAATAAATTCCTTCCCTTCGCTAAAAGCTACAAAACCTAAATTTTTCCAAATAGTGAAAATAACTGTAGCGTGAATCCGTTTATGTCTGAGAGGGACGGMGAAATCCCGAGCCTGACGGGTGTGACACTTAGAGAAAGCGAGGTTATTAAAGAAAGCAGAACCTAATTGAGGATAAACGATCCGAGCAGCCAGAGGATATTTTTTGCACCCTGGTGCCAAGAAGTGGCCCAGAGCAGACAGCGATATAGATTTACCTCGACTGAGCCAAGGATAGCCGATACCCCCCACTACACTGTTACTCTACAAACACACAGGAACTGCTGATGTCACCACAAAGAACCTTTTTTTTACTAAAGCAACAACATCACTTGTTGTCTTTAATGTAAATACATTAACCTGATTTTATCTTAAGAAAAAACAGAAAATGATGAAGAAAAGAGGCCAAAAGACTGACAAACAGGAGAATATTATTAACCTTGTTAGTCTGGATTTTTTTCCTTATTTCAAGAAGTATTACCAGGTTCAACTGTCTAACTATACTAGCAGATTATTTCACTTAATTTGAAAAGATTCAGACTACAATCTAGTATTAGATGGCTTATTTTTGCAGTGTATCGATAATTTAGCAGCGACAAGATGCAGTGAACAGGAGCCAAAAGAAACAGGACAGAAACAAAAAAAACAGAATGCAAATGCGGCCCTGTGATGGACTTGCGACCTGTCCAGGGTGTACCCCGCCCCTCGCACTGTGACTGCTGGATATAGGCACCAGTGACCCTGAAAAAAGGAAGAAGCGTGTACAGAAAATGGATGGATGGATGGATGGATGGATGGATGGAGAATGCAAATGCAATGTTATGAAGTTTTGATAATGCAAATAGGAGAATAATCAGATTTAGTTGGAGTTGTGGGTCACAGAGTTTGTAAAAAAAAGTTATGGCACTTTGGAAAGAGCCATCAGACAATGATCACATCGATGAACCTGCTGAACCTGAATAACTGAGCCCCTCGTTTTCTTTATGCCGTAAAACTTATAATGGTTAAAAGAAATAAACAGAATTAGATAAATAGTAAATAAAACAACAACAACGAGATCGACTTCCTGTTCGCTCCACTTTAACCTTGATGCTAACGAGGTCAGAGTATCGACTCGTCAGAACAGGTGGCTAACCCGGGAGCGAAGACGGCTTCGTGTTGATCGCTCAAAACACAAAAGGAGCCCAAATCTCAGCATGAACACACACACATATGTACACACACACACAAATAAACATGCAAGCCATGGCAAAACTGTAGCACAATAAACAATAAACCCCCACACAAAACCTGAGCCCTTCCACTCTAACTGTCTCTGACGTCACAGCACACACATTGATCAGCAGGTAGATGCTGTCAAAAACAGAGTCTAAACTTTGTCCTTGCACAAAGACGTCTGAGCAGACGCCCACACGCAGCCAACACCTAACCGCAGGGCGTGATGCTGACGTGTTTTCCTCAAACCCATCTTTTTTTTTTGTTTGTTTGGTTTTTTACCCAGAAAGAATCCCTGCATCAAACTGAAAACAACGACCCAAAAACGGACTGAACGAGATCAAATATCTTCGTACGAGTTCAACAGACGAAGCAACATCAAACAAGGAAAACTGCGGGACAGTTTGATATAAATAAATAAATAAATAAATAAATAAATAAATAAATAAATAAATAAACTTTTGTTAAATTCTTTACGTCGTGGGATTCTGATCAGAAAATGTTTCGTAACTCAGCTGATTGCTTCGTTTCAGGCACGCTGAACCCGTCTGTCCTCTGCAGCTGATTCTGATTTTTTTTCCTTTCTCCCCCTGAGCGCTCTGCTCATCCATCTTTCTGTCTTTTTTTTTCAAACACCCATCCACCCCCCTCAGTATTCCCCCCTGGGACCCCCCTCATCTCGGTGTGTGTTGTGCCTGTATGATTATCTGTGAGGCTGCATTGTGACAAAAGAGGAGCTCTCCTCTGCTTCTCTTCCCAAACTCCTCACTTTCTCTACCTTTTTCTTCACCTCCCGCGAGCGCTTCCTCGCCTTCTTTTTCTCCTTCTCCTTCTCCTCCTCTGCGGCGAGATTCTCGTCCGCCTTTTTCTTCAGCTGCGAGGCGGCGTGCGCCATGCTGCTCCAGCCCAATTAATCCACACAGGTGGGAAGCAGGAAAGGAGGGATGGAGAGCCAAACCCAAAGTGTCCTCTTTAACCTTTTTATTCTTCTGATTCTCTTCCTCCTGTTCTTGGCAGGCCGTCCGTCGGAGGAGCAGCTGTTACAGGTGTGTGAGGAGGACAAAAAAATGCCTCCTTGTCTAAATTCCCCTCTTTGTTAAGCTGCTCTTCTTCCTCTGCAGCTATCCACACTGTGCGGAAGCTATGATCCAGTTTGGGGCAGGACAGCTGCACGGCATGCTTTTCTCACAAAGTGAAAAATATTTAAAAGCAAAAACAACAAAAATCTTCTTTGAACAGTTCAAGCGGTCATATGGATACAGAATTACGTACAAAAACAGTTACAGGTGCACTAATCCAGCTCCAGGTTCAARAAGAGGCTCGAGCTCCAGTCTCCAGCCCAGGAAAGAGCTCTGTTTTCTGGGTAGAAAGGCTCATCGTGTCCCCTGCTTTRGCTCCATAAGTCTGCCACCTGCACCTGGGCCATCCTCTGTGCAGACGCAGAAGCACCCGCTCGGTCCGCGACGTCTCACCAATACATGTGAACATAGGGAAAGGTTTAGATAAGAGGAGGAGGAGGAGGGGGGAACGGCAARGAGGGAGGAGGGGGTAGAAAGAGGTAGGAGCAGCTGGGACAGCAAGGAGGAAAAAAAAAAGGAGGGAGTGGGGTTGGATGAATACCTCTGCTTAGTACCAGCTGGCTGCGGCTGAGAGATGAAGGCAGAAAGAAGAGAAGGATGAGTCTTCACACAGGGCGGGTTCAGGACGAACACACGGTGGGGGTCCGGTATCTCTCAGCACAGCGCTGCGTGTGCAGCCATGATGCTCCTCTTATAAAACTTACTGCCTCATCCCACTGAGAGCCCCGCCGCTTGGCTCCTAACACCACAACAAATGCACCGCCGTCATTTTCTCTCGGACACACGAATTTTAAAAAAGAATGGATTTGATTTTATAAACRGAAAATACAAATATATGCTGCAGACAACGGAAAATATGAACCTGAAATTCTGGCACAACCACCGCCTGRCATGCCAACACTTCAAACACAGACCCTGTGCAGCTTGTTAGTCCTCAGAGAATATTGTGGGGATGAATCTCAACTACTACCACCGCCAATTTTATCTTAGTTTCGGTAAAACTATTTCCATTTTTGTTTGCAGCTATTAAACAGAATCTGTGACGGAACTTTTAAWTAAGCTCTGACTCGCCAACTACAATTTGTTTGTCTTCATTCTCCTCTGGTTCTGGGTCMGACTCTGGGTCCAACATGTAAGACTGGATGGACAAGTCTTCCTTTGTTGACGCCTTTTGATTCATTTGCTAATAAAAAAGTTTCTGTGCAGCTAAATAGTCGTAAACCCCTCTATCAAACCAGAATGGATCACTCTGGCAGCTGGAGGGGGTGTAAAGCTCCTCCTTTGGATTTAAAGAGACAGCCTCAAAACGAGTTGATCTGAAACACCCCTGAGAAAAGTGCTGAAAGAGGGGCTTGTGGAGTTACAATAAGGAGCAGTTCCTCTTTATATAGACCCCAAATGAAAGATTTAAATGTGAAAAAGTGGGATTTAAAAGCAGGATGTGTCTCCTTTAAATTAGGCTGACTTGTAAAAGTAAACTTGATGYATTTCTGCTAGTTTCATTAAAATCCATGTGGTTCATGAGATATTTTGCTAACATAAAGGCAAACAAACATTAACACCAGCCTCATGGAGGAGGCCACAGTCATAAAAACATCAAATATTTTCTCAAAAAGGCGCCGTGGTGTTTTGTGTTTCAATGAATCATTTATTAAAATGTATAATTCAAAATAACACAGATCTGCTCTAATATTTAGGAATAAAAYGTCCCTCAAAGGCAGTAAAATAAGTTTTTAAGAATCATTAGGATGTGGAATAAATAATTTAAAAAGCAAAAGGGAGAAATTAATCTTTTTTTTCATGAGGCAAATTTTTTAGAGTACATTGCGAAACATTCACACAGTAATAAATATTAATCATCAATGRATTTCTGCGTTTTCAGTTGTAGTTTTGGGGTTTTCTTTGTGTGTGATGAGTCTGCAGCTGATGAATATTAAAAACACCAGAGAGGAGCTGAAGCTGTGTTCTGATCATGTGACAGCAGAGCAGGCTTCTGATTGGTTGCTTTGAGAAGTTAGAAAAAAAATAGCTTTTGGCTGTAAAAACATTTCCAACCCTGATCCTGGTGCAAACAATAAGAGCTGAGTGTCTGCACTGTTAGCAAAATAACTCATGAACCACTGGACAAATTTCAATAGGGACCTCAAACAAATAATCTTTGCATGTGCATTTCAATTGTTTTAATGTTTGTTGTTAATCTAAATCAGGATGGCCACCACAGCTGAAATTAGCCAACAAAATGGCTCTAACTCTGAATTTAATAGATTTTGAGCTAAATATYGGTGTAGTAGCTGAGAGTCATTTATAACGTACTCTGAGCGTTTACAGGAAAGACGGTGGGCGAGGACTGCTAGCACTTTGTTTRCAGGAAGTATTTATTAAGGTTAAATTAAAACAGAAAACGTTCCTCACAGATCTCATTTAAATGATCTCAGCAATAGTCCAGAAACCAAACTTCACTTYGTCTTATATAATAAGTCATCTGGTGGTTTCAGTGAGGATTTATTGGACTAATCCCTCATTATCTCCGTCTGTAAGAGGAGCTTATGAATGAGTCTTAAAGGTGACCTGTCTGTCCTCAAACTGGGATTAACAGCAGGTGATTTCTGTCAGCGTGGATCAGACGTTTAAAAAGATCCAAACAAAAGATGGAGATAATGAAAGAGTTTAGGAGTTCTTCACACCGACGAGACGAACTCCTCTTCCTCCGTTTCCTCACTGGAAGTCGAAACGAATCGGCCTCTCGTTGTAGATCTGCTGCTACTTGCTCCAGTTTTAAATTGTTTTCTGCATGGTTCACATCGCTCCACTGCAGGAAACTTCTGGGTCTGTCAGAGTTTTTTTTTTTTACTAGCAAAGGAACAGAAACAATATTGTTCTTAAATAATTTATCTTTTGTCTATATGATAAAATATCAGCATCACCTGTAAACATAAAATAATGCTGCCTTTTTTCAGATAAATTATTTAACAGCAAAAAAAGATCCTGTTATCATTTACTAGTAAATTATTTTATCAAAAGTACAATTATTTAAGTTAACTTTCCTCCTGTGATTAAAAGTAAATTTAACTTTGAAAAAATAAACCTTTTCCTTTGAACTGACACGAAGAAATGTTTAGTTATTTTTTGTGGTGTTTGTCTCCCTCTAGTGGTCACACAAGGAAACAAACCTTTTCTTTTTTTTTCCATGAGGGTCAGAGCAGATTCCAGGTTTCCATCAGTTATTATGAAATATTTCAGAACATGCAGTACTTTTGATGAACACTTAGAGGAGCCATATCACCAATAAAAGAACAGCAAACAGTGTTTTTTTTTATAGATTTTATTTTTTATATATTTAACTGATCTAGAAATGAACTTAWTTTCTAAAGATTGAATAAAAAGCAGGGCAGCAAATTGATCTCTGGTTCAAATCCCAACAGGAGTCTTTTAGTCCAGCATGTATAAAACCATGAGCAGGTGTTTAAAATAAAAGTACCCAATTCCATTTTAGTGGCTTAGTGACAACATTATTTCACATAATTCCTTTAAATCCCAAACACGTGAAAACGTCGGTGTGTTTTTGATTACATTTAAATGTCTCCACAGTTAGTTTCCCAGTCGTAAAGACGGCACAACAACCCATCMCAACATCCTGATTGGAGAGGAAATGGATCAATTATCTGCAATTAAGATCACTTTCACATGAAACCACAGAAATGGGAGCTTAAATATACAAATATCCTACAGTGCTGCTTCCAAACTCATCTGTGTTCATGTGGAAACTTGCACTTTGCTCAGTCGAAGCAGCATAACATCTCTGAACTCTGAGGATATTATGAATATAGAGCTTTTTCTCCTCCTCTCTTKTTGGTAAACGTAAATCAAATATCATTTTATAGCACATTTCCTGAATGTGCCTACCAACAAAAATAAAATGACAAAAAAAAAAACACTTCATTTCTCAGCATTCAAACTGCAGCTAACAACCTAACAGCTACTTCCGGCTCAGCTCTGACTCAACACCCAAAAACGGCTTTAGAGAACTTCTCGTCCTTTTTTAGTCGTTGCATTTAGAGTTTAAGTATTTAAAATCAAAAGCAAGTGCATCCTGTTCAAGATGAGAGCAATAATTCCACGGTTTCTTCGTTGTTCCGTTTTCTGTACTCGTGCCAGACGTCTGTACCGTAAAAAGTTTGTAAAAAGTTTATAGAATTAAAACTCTTAAAGAAGTTAAGACTATTTTACCCAAAACCAACTCTGGGTAGCTACTAGGGCTGTGTATTGGCAAGAATTTGGCGATACGATACATATCATGACAGAGGGGCCACGATACGATATATCCCGATATATTGCGATACTGTAAGCAAGGTGATATATTGTGATTTTTTTATCCAAAAATTCTGTTAAATAAAAACCTCTTACAGGGGAAAAAAATGAAAAACCAAAATTCATTGTCTCAGAAAATTCTAATATTACATAGACATRCTTTTGATATATTTAGTTGTGTTCTGCTTTGTATGTATTTTATTTTATTTGTTTCATATTTCATCCATGTTTTCAATTATTAGACTAAATTTGACAGTAAATAGTTTGAAAATATATTTTTACAGCTTAGCCAAATGGCTGGCTCACTGCTGCCAACCAGTGGTCAGAGGCTGAACTACAACATAAAAATGAACGGCTGGCAGGAAAGTTGACATTTTAAACCTTAATAAAAAAAAATCGATACAGGGCTTTAGAATATCGATACAGTATCTGGAAATGAAATATCACGATATTTCAGTGTATTGATATTTTCTTACACCCCTAGTAGCTACCTAATCTAAACCTTGTAAACTTGATCAACCCTGCTTCTAAAATATAATTGGGAGTTGTTGGGAACCTGAATGAAAACGAGGAACAGGAATCATTCATATTCAACCGTTACACATCAGATACATATGTTTCTGTTAGAAGATAGGAAATACTGATACAGATAAAATGAACAAAAAAGAAAAATAGATGAAAACAATAAAAAAGGAGCCTACGTTTCTACACAATATGATAAAGTCATAACTGTGATATGTTCTGTGCTTCGTTTTTGTAATCTGCTCATTTTTTGTTTCGGCCTCAAATACAGTAGCTTTTATTTAGAGCTCTAATAAACTCAAGAGTGACTCTCAGCTGCCACGTCAAAGAAAACCTCTTATTGTTTGGACATAGCATGGCCTCTGTCTCCCCTCGGCTGTCTCTTCACTGTGATGTCTTACTTTCTCACACTCACTTCATTTGATCCACTCTCCCTCTCAGCATGTCTGACGCAGAACTCTGTAAATGGACCTAAACTGGATAAGGGTTGATGAAGCAACATAAAACAGCGGGGGGACTGTCGGATGATGGTTTAGGCCTCATGGGATGGAGGACTGGATCATGTTTGG